TGAGGAAAAACCCAGAACTGCAAAGTTTTAAGGAAAACCCATAATTTCAAATTTTTTTGGATTTTATCATTCGGTATAGGTGGATTTCCCCAATGTTTATGTGCCATTTCCCCAAAATCTATCGCGGCTTCTCCAATATAAGGGTATTGGGATCTCCATTATTTTCTCAAGTAGTATGCAACTACACAAATCTACAAAATAGATGGTAGCTTTTCTGTTTTTAATGGGATTAAGTTTTAAAATGGGAAATCTGTCATCCGGTTTGATAACTCCCGTCGGTGTAATTTGTAAGCTCCAACTATTCTGATGAATTGGTTGTTATTAATACTGAAGTATTAAAAACCGTTAACTGCGAAGTGGATCTAATCACATTAAGTCATGTAATTGATTAAAAAAGGGAATTGTGCGCTAAGGACTATGTTTCGACACGAAGAAGTACAGAGAAATGTAAGAGTATAACATGGTTGTTTATGATCCAGAAGGATCAGCTTAGTCGCTTTAGTAATTCTGAGAAAAGCTATTCTACATAGTACAGATCAAATAAAGTATTGTCGTAACCAATACATATTTATCTTCTCTAATGTTTCCATCAGTCAATAGAATCGTTAAAGAGTGACAAGCTGTGACCTGATTTTCTAGAATGCAACATGAATACTAGCTCATGCTTGAGAATAACTCGATTTAGATCTATCATGTGTATAAATTGAGTACATTAATTTAATCTCTCTTAGCAAACGCGTAGTCGCACAATACTCAGTTTTTTTTAATGAAAAGATGAGAAAATTGATGTGAAGAATTCTACGAACAATTACTTTTGATAAAGAAGTGAAGGCAGGATTACTTCAACTCACATCGAGTGAGTGGTGTACGGGATCTGTAGACGCAAACATCGATTTTATGTATTTTCATCAATCTCTATAACAGCTCTTAACAGTAGTCGAATTCTGTTATACTACCATTGCCGAATTTCCAGTGGTAAATATCTAACCAACGAGTAACGTTATACTGTTATAATTAATAATTGCAAATATTAACAACGTATTCATAGAATATCGACATGTCTTTTAAGGCTTGGTTTCAGCAACTGTTTTTTGAGGTTGTTATAACACATCGGGATTGGAAAAGCATACTGTGGTGGCTGTTTATAGCATAGGTGAGTGATTCTATGTCCTATAAAATATGTAGTGTAACTATATAGCCTGCATTTTTTGAAAATATTGTTATTACACAACATTGAAAACAGAAATACTAAATAGTTATTAGGAACTTGTATGCTAAAAATATTCGGGAGAATTCCAAAAGAATTATCAAGTTCTTATCTTACTTTCTCGGTTATAATAATCATGCTTAACCAGAATTTTATGTAAAAGTACTAAATTAAATGAATAACAGAGATGTATCTAGCCGGTACCTTGTTAGTCTATCGATTTGAGTCTGTGTAAAAGTCAAAAATGCGAAACAATGTTCTGTCATAATTTTCAAATCCTCTGTGAGTGAAAATCGTTATTATTTAACCAATATTCATGACTAAACATAATTTAATTGTACATGCTTCCTTCACTAGCATTTTATTGGCTAAGTAACAGCTAGCTCGTTTACTTACTTGCTTACGCCTGTTACTCCTCGTGAAGGAGCATAGGCCGCTCACAAGCAATCTCCATCCAACCCTGTCCTGGGCAATCCTTCCTAGCTCCGTCCAGTTGTAATTCATCGTTTTCATATCTGCTTCTATTATCCGACGCAATGTGTTCTTTGGCCTTTCTCTTTTTCGCTTCCCTTCAGGATTCCAAGTTAGGGCTTGCCTTGTGATGCAGTTTGACGATTTGCGTAATGTATGTCCTATCCATTTCCATCGTCTTTTCCTAATTTCTTCTTCAGCTGGAAGTTGGTTTGTTCTCTCCCACAGAAGGCTATTGCTGATGGTATCCGGCCAATGGATGTTGAGTATCTTGTGTAGACAGCTATTTATAAATACTTGTACTTTCCTGATTGTGGTTTTTGTAGTTCTCCAAGTTTCAGCTCCATACAGTAGAACTGCCTTGACGTTGGTATTGAAGATTCTCACTTTGATATTGGTTGAAAGTTGTTTTGAGTTCCATATGTTCATTAACTGTAGGAATGCTGTCCTTGCTTTGCCAATCCTTGCCTTTACGTCTGCATCTCAACCTCCTTGTTCATCGATGATGCTTCCTATGTATGTGAAGGACTCTACATTTTCCAGAGTTTCGCCATCAAAAGTGATTGGATTGTTGTTTTCCGTTTTGAATTTGAGGACTTTGGTTTTCCCTTTGTGTATGCTGAGACCTATTGATGCAGAGACTGCTGCTACACTGGCTGTCTTCATCTGTTCGTGTGTACGTGATAGGAGGGCTAGGTCATCTGCGAAGTCCAAATCGTCTAATTGATTTCGAGCTGTCCATTGAATTCCGTGTTTTCCTTCAGATGTCGAGGTCTTCATAATCCAGTCGACCACCAGAAGAAAGAGAAAGGGAGAGAGTAAACAGCCTTGTCTGACTCCGGTCCTTACTTGGAATGCATCTGTCAGCTGTCCTTCATGCACGACTTTGCACTGTAGTCCGTCGTATGAGTTCCGGATAATGTTGACAATCTTTTCGGGAAATCCGTAGTGTCGAAGAAGTTTCCATAATGTCCTCCTATCTACACTGTCGAATGCTTTTTCATAATCAATAGCTAGCTCGTTTGCTGTTGGTTAATGTACTGAATATCCGTCTGGTCATACTGAACTAGCCATTTACCAATAAAAATCAACATTTTCAAGAGTTACAATTTCTAGTTATGCTTATTAAGCTATAAAACAAGTGTTGGGAGACTTTTCAACACAATATTGTGGGATTGTATTTCGTGCTTAAGCTTTTGCGATGATTACTTTTAGACACTAGGATTTCGAAGTCACTAATTGAATTGTATTTAAGTGTCACTTTATTTACATGCAAATAATCACAAAGTTTACACAATAGTGCCTATAATACGTTACTATATCTTGTTTACACTGCGTCATAGCAAAATATAAATATTGTGTCAACACCTCATGGAAACTTTTCCTTTTGAGAACAGTATTTGTAACACAAACTATGACAGAATTTAAATGTAGATAATGAGTTAGTGGAGTGAGTCTTTCTAGAGTCACTTCACTGGTGTTTTCATAAGCAACTTATGTCATGTGAAATCTTTTGATAACCGAACTAGACAAAGAAACCCGATCAAATCTAACGACAATTGGTAAAAAAGGTTTTGTATATACATACCCCTACATGTTTTGGATTTTGACAAATGCGTTCAAATTTTCTTCACAAAGAATCTCATGAAACGTTAGGCTGATATCAACTCATTAACAGCACAAATTAAAGTCTCACCAGACTATTTGAATTGTCAGAAAGGCTCTTCATCAACTTTTCATTGTCATCATAAATTCAAATCTTGTCACAATGCAAAGATTACTTCTGTGTAGCACATTTAGGATTTGGAAACCATTTTTTAGTTACTATGATCAAAGGCCTCAACTAATGTTATTTAGGAACTGTAAATTTACAAGTGATAACCAGTAAACATTTGTATTGTCTGTAATTTTACTGACTTACACGTTCCTTTTACTTCGGAATTTTCCGCAGTACGAGCAAGAATGGCTAGCGAATTGGATTTTTTTGTCTCTGGACGAAAAAAAGCACATTTATACCAATAGATCGCTGAGTAGTGGGCAACGTGCTATTCGGCCTTTAGAGCTACTGAGGTTTGGTGATGAGAAACGATTTTTCAGATGGAAGAACGCAACAGATATGAAGACTGTAAACTAGATTTTATGCTAGACATAACTCTTTGGCAAAGCATATCTGCAATATTGGGGAGACTGATACGCCTTATAGTAGAATTCGATCTACCTGTGGCAGCAAGGAAGCGTTACTAACGAACTCTTAAAGGCCCAGGTGAACTCTATCAAGCCATCCAAAGTTTAAAAGATCCCCAAGAAATTTGTCTACCTATCATTCCTGTGGTGTGTATATGAACTAATGATTCTTCTGTACTTGACGACTGCCTGGTTTTGAGTTCCAAGTACATCTAGTTCTTATTGGTTAAATTGCGTTAATTTTTGGGATTCCTAATTCGTACAATAATTCAAACACTTCAAATCATCACACGTACACTATATACTTTAAATATTCACTTAACGAACGTGATTTTCGAGTATACAGTAACTAAGAGATGTATAATTATGTTAACTAACATAGAATTTATTCATAACTTTGAGGTTGTTTCATTTGAGACAAATTACTTCCTTGATATGTCTATTTGTAAACAAAATTGTTTTCCTTCAACGTTATATTCAAAATGGTTGGTTATTTCAACAAATGCGTACATAGGCTATCACAGTCAATAACACTTGCAAAGTGCACGGATCCGAACTCAATTATTAAGCTACCGGACTGATTTGCAGTAGGTCCTTAAACTGGTTGCCAACTTGTTACAAGGGTGCGAGTAGTTTAAAACGATGGGTTTATTGAGTGTTAATTAAATGCACAACTTCAACGCTTTACGTCAGAAAACTTTACAAACATCTGAGTTCAGAAAACGAGTTATGGTTTCAAGTTTCTATAAACTAAAAAGTGAACGATAAACATACGGAATTGAGCACATGGCTGTAAATTCCTATCACTGTGAAGATTATTGATGTTAGCCATCTCTTAAAAATGGCGTCATACAGACTCTGTTTAAGACTTGCTAATATTGAGTACCAGATTATAATTACACACCCAAAACTTTTCTCAAAGCATTTACGAACAACAGAAGTAAAGACAACGTAACGTTTCAAGTTACTTCAACTGAAATATAGGCCACAAATCGTTATTTCTGTTGCAGCAAATAAAGAGTGAACAGAAACTAACTAATACTGGCTAGTCTATTCCTTAACAAATCAGAACTTGGTGCAAATACATGGATCAACCAGTTGGGCTGATGCCACGACCAGCGATGTATCGTAACAGTAATTATAACCCCAAGCATATATTTTGCGGAAACATTACATATACGATAACTTTGAATTTATACATACATCGCTTATTTATGAGAGATTGATGTTCATTGTACAAGATTCAGGGCTAGCTGGAAACAGAAAATCTATGGATATATGATGTCAACACTTTCTGAACTCTACTTTATCCAGATGGAGGCCACACACTTGCCAAATTTTCGATGTCACTGAGACTCATGGAATTTAATCTGGCAGACAATGCCTACAAAAAAGCACAAAATGAAATCGATCGAATGAAGCCAGTATATATCGATAAACTTGTGAAATTTGAAATAGAACAGAAAGTTGAATTTACGTGTGTAATCTCATATGAAAATAAGTTAGTCTAATAGACGGTTCTTAAGTATTTTGCTCACAATTTTTACGTGACATGAAGTTACCCTAAAAGTACCATCCGTAGAAATCAACATAAACCACTGTTGATGACGTAGTAATTATTAAGGCATACAACCTGGAATAAGTTGAGTTTGAATGCCAAGTGGCTCACTTTATGTTTATACTGACTGGGGAGATTTATTCACGTCATTTAATTACATTTTTCGTCGTTAGTGATAGTGACTAGAGTGGGAAATCGATAGGTTCTGTTGTAAATCTCCGCATTTCCGGGATATATATACCCACACATTTTCCAACTTGAAGTGCAATGTTGGTTGGTGTCGGAGTAGTTTAGGAAACTAAGAGAGGCCAAACCAAAACACCATTAGTCTGTGACTGTTTATCTGAGTTATTTTTGGTACATAGACTATTCGGTTGGCGTCCGTACGAAAACTGCAATCAGTGGATGGGAACTGGATGACATAGCTTAGAGACTATAATTTATGGACGATCTTTGGGCAATGCCAGTGACCTTGATGAAAAACCACTTACTAGGGCCAAAAGAGGGTTATAAATCAGAATCTACAGTTAAAGTTATGGTTGTCATTAACTATAGTGTTGCTATGCTATCTAACCAAATAGATGGATGGATTTCGAGTCAAATATCCAGGACTTTTTATCTTAGATCTTATTGGTTCACTCATAAATCAGTACCAACCCGCTAATGCTGTTACAACTTATACGACTGACATTTTATTGTGCTGGGGTAGTATGTTAACTTGAACAGATGCATATACACCGAATTTTACGTTATGTACAGATAGTGGGAGGACACTAATGAAAAACCGTACTCTCAGTATGTCAGGTTTGTGGGCTTTTACAATGAGACGAAGCGGTGTATTGACTTTACACTATAACCAACATTACGTCCAATGAAATTTTTTCCATATATACTACTTGGGGCTTTGCCGCACTGAAATACAACCTTAAAACACCCTAGTATCGAAACGTTTCCTCAAGATTACTGTGTACGAATCATGAAGTATCGACCGATTAATAAACAATTCATACGGCTTTGATTAATAAAGATAATGGAGATTATCTATTACACAGTAGTACTTCACCTATAGAATGAACGCAGAGCTGCATTCCAAAGAACAAGTTCGCAGTCACGTCTTTGTAAAGTCAAAAACTTAGTTAATCACGGGAATGTCTGTGTTCGAGAAGGATTTGAAGAGAATATTTGAGGCCACATTTTAGTAAACAACAATTAGGCGATATATATATATATATATATATATATATATATATATATATATATATATATATATATATAATGTCTACATTGCACATGATAAACGTGAGACAAATGTTAATGATCAATATGTCGTTGGTACTTCTGGATTGTCAGATAAACACCTTAACATCATGAGAAGCACTTCGGTTAATCAACTTACCTGAAGAAATTTCGAGACCACAAAATCCGGATTAACTTCAGGAAGTTTTTCAGCCAAATACTTGCGCAAAAGAGACTCAAAGTCACTTCGTTGTGGTGCACTTTTTGTTAGTAAGGTAAGTCTGTCTCCATCCCTGATTTCATAATTTAGTAGAGGCTTGTCTTTGTCTGGGACATCACATAGATATTATTAGTTAACTACCTAATAAAGGACATCCTTTAAAGACTAAGCGCTGATACTCAGGATCAATATCAAAGGCACACTTCACTGCAGCCAAAAGATCTGAAACGTATGCATCGTCATCCACCTTTGAAGAGTAAGTCAAAGGAACGGATGAAAACATACCTGGACCACCTTCTCAGCACGCGTAAGAGGCTTTACCGTTAGTTGCATTTAAGGCATAAATAGCGCCTATACCAATAGACAATATCCTTATGACGGAGTTCAATAACCAATATTTCGAATAATCTTTTGCCGGACTCGTATAGACCGAATAATTTTTGGGGGGACCATTCTTGTTGTTTCATTACGGTTTTACGTACTTGGTAATATCCAGTAAGCGGAAGTGGATAGGACACACAATGAGGAAAGCACTCAATTGCGTCACAAGACAAGCCCTCACATGGAATCCTCAAGGCCAAAGGAAAAGAGGAAGACCAAAGAACACATTATTCCGAAAATGGAAATAGACGTGAGAAAAATGAGCAAAAATTAGATGGAACTAAAAAAGTAGGCCAATGACAGTGTGGGTTGGAGAATGCTGGTCTGCGACCTATGCTCTATTAGGAGTAACAGGCGTAAGTAAGTAAGTAGGTAGGTAAGTCAATAACTTCCTTCCTTACTTACTTACTTACTTACGCCTGTTACTCCTCGTGAAGGAGCATAGGCCGCTCACAAGCAATCTCCATCCAACCCTGTCCTGGGCAATCCTTCCTAGCTCCGTCCAGTTGTAATTCATCGTTTTCATATCTGCTTCTATTATCCGACGCAATGTGTTCTTTGGCCTTTCTCTTTTTCGCTTCCCTTCAGGATTCCAAGTTAGGGCTTGCCTTGTGATGCAGTTTGACGATTTGCGTAATGTATGTCCTATCCATTTCCATCGTCTTTTCCTAATTTCTTCTTCAGCTGGAAGTTGGTTTGTTCTCTCCCACAGAAGGCTATTGCTGATGGTATCCGGCCAATGGATGTTGAGTATCTTGTGTAGACAGCTATTTATAAATACTTGTACTTTCCTGATTGTGGTTTTTGTAGTTCTCCAAGTTTCAGCTCCATACAGTAGAACTGCCTTGACGTTGGTATTGAAGATTCTCACTTTGATATTGGTTGAAAGTTGTTTTGAGTTCCATATGTTCATTAACTGTAGGAATGCTGTCCTTGCTTTGCCAATCCTTGCCTTTACGTCTGCATCTCAACCTCCTTGTTCATCGATGATGCTTCCTATGTATGTGAAGGACTCTACATTTTCCAGAGTTTCGCCATCAAAAGTGATTGGATTGTTGTTTTCCGTTTTGAATTTGAGGACTTTGGTTTTCCCTTTGTGTATGCTGAGACCTATTGATGCAGAGACTGCTGCTACACTGGCTGTCTTCATCTGTTCGTGTGTACGTGATAGGAGGGCTAGGTCATCTGCGAAGTCCAAGTAAGTAAGTAAGTAAGTAAGTAAGTAAGTAAGTAAGTAAGTAAGTAAGTAAGTAAGGAACTCCAATCAATTGACTGCAATAATTCTAACTAGTTCACTAGATATTCGTAGGTTTGTATATTGTGTAATCTGAGTGAGTGCATTCTTCTTTGAGCAGTAGGGTTTCTGGATATCAAAAACTATCACATTAAGAAAGCAAGATTTTAATTTCTTAGTTTCGATGTAAAAACAAAAAAACGAAGTTTGAATCCTTAGAGAAGACAATTGTTACAAGGACTAGTTAAACAAATTATTCGATTAGTAATGCAGACTGTATGAAAAGATTGAATGAGAGGGGAAACGGAGATAAGAATAGGCGAGATGGAAGCAAGTTAGTGACGTGTGATGGTGATGATGACAGTAGGTAATTGTTATGACTTGGAAAGTCGACATTTTAAGGTCAGGGTTAATTGCACATTATCTCGGGCTATGGAATGTCCTAGTGGGGTCCCTCAGGGCTCAGTACTAGGATCTCTCCTCTTCTTGATCTACCTAACTGATCTTCCTCATCAGGTAACGTCAGACTTATTACTTTTTGTCGACGAAGTGAAATGTTGGAGAGAGATACGCAACCAAGACGATATACAGGCATTTCAGGAGGATCTGACTCGACTTCAAGGTTGGGCAGACGATAACGGACTTACCTTCAACACTTCAAAGTGTAAAGTAGTCCATCTGCGACATGTCGCAGACTACAGTTATAACTTGAGTAACTTCTCTCTAGTAGTATCCCAAGTCGAAGAAGATTTAGGAGTCCTTGTGCCCTACGATTTAAAGTCTTACGCCAAATGTGACGAAAATGCCTTCCGAGCAAACCTTGCACTTATAACATTGAAACGCATTTTTGGCCAGTTCGACGGAAGAACTTTCCACATAGTCTTAACTAGTTTTATCCGTACTCATTTAGAGTACGGAAACATAGTATTTCCCCCTCACTCCAAAAGAATAAGGACACCCTGGAGCGTATTCAACGGCTAGCCACGAAATCAGTTCGAGGACTCAAATTTAAACCTGACGAAGAGCGCCTCCATTCACTTAACCTTTACCCATTAGAGTATAGGCGTCTTAGAGCTGACCTTCTGATGGCTTTTAGTATCCTTAACACTTCTGGACATCCTCTCAAACACACAACTTTTACTTCTTAATAGTTGTCAAATGGTGGAATTCTCTGCTGGTCGAGCTAGTCCAAGCGACTTCCCAAGAGTCCTTTAAGAGACAACTTGATATATTCTTAAGGACTAAGGATAGTATCACACTATGACATACTAATTTCTTTCGCTTTTTTATTATTAACATACCTAGGTTCATGCCTGTAGGATTTGGTGATCTCCTGCTGCTAACGAAAGCCTATAAAGCGAAAGCTTCTTCTATTCCGTCCACAACCATTTGAACCATTTGAACTTGTGGTCCTGTTCCTCTACCAACATATAATGTAATCATACCGCTAATTCCAGAACAGTGAATTATCAACCGGTCCAATGACGCATAAAACCCGTACGAGCATTCTAGGGTTCTTATCGGTCCATCTTCTTGGGTTTATATACAAACCAAACAGGCCACATTACACCACAAAATAGAAAACAACATTTGTACATAGATGTAACCAAAAGTGAATGTGTGTGGGAGACTGTAATGAATAGACTGGACAGAACTCAAGGGCGGTACATCGTATAATAATAGTTTAGGGGTCAAAATAAAGCTCACAATAAGAGGAACGTGCATACGCATAGTTCAGCTATTTCATAATTATACAATAAAAATATATGTATGGTGTTGGTCCATAAATAGTTCTCAAGAGTTACCATTCATGATTCTCGTCAGGATATAACAGTAAGTTACGAGACATGCACTAGGCACAGCTTATCGAAGCACGAGATTGTAATCCATGGGCTAGTAGACATTTATAAAGTCTCCTCTCAAAGCCACTCTATGAAGAGTTTCTGGACACTTCGACTAGAAAAGCATTCCGAGTGATGACAACTCTGAATGAGAAGGGGCGAGAGAGTGCCTGAGTTTTTGCTTTTTGATGAGCGATTTGTCGGAATTGACTCGGGGGACATGATGGTGATGTTCTAGTAGGATGTTCGCTTTTGAGTACCTTGGAGAACATAGTAGGTTGAATGTCCTTATCACATCACGTGTTGTTCCATTATAACTCTGTAAGAATAATCCTAAGTGTCCAAGTCTGTCTGTGGGATTCGTTCGATAACTTCACCAAACAATAAGGCACTCGTCTTTGTACCTTTTCTGGGAGGTTTGCGTCTCCCTTAAAGAGAGTGAGCTTAACAGCATTGTGGACTTTGAGGTGAGGCTGTGAGTATGTTTATGTGGAGTATCAGGTAAGATGATTTTGTTGATTTGTATTCGTATAAACTGAATCTTTGCATTTACTTTAGCCGCATCACCATTTCAACTTTGGTTGGTGTCCAAAGTCCCGGCGGTTATTAGTCGTAGACCGAGCAGTGTGGATACAATTTGAGCATATTTTCATTTAGGATGTGAGTTGTTTGTGTCTCAGGTTGTTGAGGATTTTGAAATGCCCTTTGATAGATTTAACTCCAACCTTATATCTAATAAATAGCTCTGTGTCTTCGAAATTGATGCTGACCTCATTAGTTTTACTGGACACGCTGTATATATAAGTCCTGAGTCACGAATGCACACAAGATCACCATGAGGCACGCGATGCCACTCATCCCTTACATCAACTAGTTAGCTCAGTTCACGCGCTCAGACCATATTCTTCAGGACAAGTCGTCTATCTTCAAGTAACTTCATTCCCGACTTCTGGTTTGACGGGGTTAGTAACCCACGATTATTTAAGTTGATGCGAGCACAAGACTTGCCAAGTCCGTAACATCATAAGCGCGTAACCTCTGATTATTCAGACATTCTGGAGACAAAACAGAAGCGGCTCCTCACGAAAACCTAAATAATGAGGAATCATTACTGGGTGTGCTTCCGGAATTTCTATACACCCAGGGTCATATAAGTTTATGAATACCCTCGATTTTCTATACATAAACTAACTTTAGAGTAAATATAATGTTCCGAATTATTTGAATTATAGTACGAACTAAGAGTTCCAGAAATAACGCAATTGAATCAAGAAGTACTAGATAAGCACAAATGAATGTACTGTATTTAGAAATCAAGCATTCAACAATTACAATGGTACCATTAATTCATTCAAACACCACATCTGATCGTTGTCGCTACCTTGACGTGGTGATCGAGCGTGCCTATCGTGATGAAGCAACCGAGCTATACAGGCTGGAACAACCGTTCCTCAAGGTCCTACTATGTCAGACAGGTTGGCTGAAGAGCGGTAAGACTAAAAGCAACAAACCCAAGGTCCGAAGGCGAAGTCGTACTGCTCACTGTACAGAGGTGTGACAGCAGTAAGGTGTTTTCTTTAGACAACCAGCATGACAGCGATGCTGCCTTCCAACAAGGATGGGTGGGGTTAGAAAAGATCGACCCTAAAAATGCACACCTCGCCTTATCCCACGGATATCCGTCTCCGGCGGTAAGGTCTCAACAAGTAAGGAGCTAACACAAAAATTACCCATAATAAGGTTGTGTTTGACCGACCTCATGCAGTTGTCCCTTGAGCTCGGCGGTCACACTCTCAGGTCACTAACATCACCTCTAATCCAATTTGCTTTTCATGTACCTCCAGAAGAACCCTTCCACGGTGTGGGCAACCGGAAAGTGATAACCGCCCTCATACCTCTAACAGCACTCAAGACCACTGGATTCATAATCAACCTCCC